ATCCTCCTCACTGGTCGTGGCTTCCACCAAGTAACTTTCTTGGTCATAGTCGTAACGAACTAGAGGCCCGGATGTCCGGGTAGATCTCCTAGGTTGGTTATTAACTGGAGCTTGTGGGACATCTCCCACTACTCCTAAGCTCTCATCAAGAACAACTTCCTGACGATGATTGTTCAAGATGTAATCTTCCTCTAAGAAATGGGCATTTCGACTACAAAACACCTTCTGTTCTCCTCGGTCATAGAATAAATACCCCACAGAGCCTTTTGGATAACCTACAAATAGATAACGACTGGTTTTAGATTCCAATTTGTTAGCACTTGTTCTTTTAACATGTGTCAACCCCAAATCTTCAAGTGTCTCACACTTGGTTTCTTACTGGTCCAAAGCTCATAGGGAGTCTTCAGAACGGATTTGGTTGGAACCCGGTTCAGCACGTATATCGCATTCTCCAATGCGTAACCCCAAAAGGATGTGGGTAATTCTGAGTGTACGAGAAGTGATTGGACCATATCCAATAAAGTCTGGTTCCTCCTCTCTGACACACCGTTCAATTGTGGTGTAGCAGGAGGAGCTAGTTGATACTATCCCATTTTCCTTTAAGTAGTCCCTGAATTCGTCAGAAAGATATTCGCCTCCTCGATTTGATCGAAGGGCCTTAATGTGTTTCCCCAACTGTTTCTCGACCTCTTGCCTGAACTCTTTGAACTTTTCAAAAGATTCAGACTTGTGTCTCATTAGGTACATGTAACCATACCGAGAGTGATCATCGGTAAATGTTATGAAATAAATGTGTTGGTTACGTATCCTAACATTCATGAGACCACATACATCAGTATGTATAAGGTCAAATGTGCATGTTGATCTTTCAGGCTTACCGTTAAATGGCCGTTTCGTCATCTTAACCTGAAGGCAAGGTTCACAGGTTGGGAGATCTTCTAGAGTTAGAAAATCCAAARGACGATCATTTACCAACCTTGTGATACGATCTACGTTAATGTGGCCAAGTCGGTAATGCCATAGGCAAGTGGGATTAACTGTATCACGGGTTCTTTTCTTGCGGTTATTATCCAACGTAGTTTCGGTTATATTTGTTTCCAAAGAAGGATGGAGAACATAGAGACCATTCTCAAGTTCTCTATATGCGAGGAATTTGTTATTCCTTTTGATAATAATCACATTACTAAAGAGAATAGAATAACCATCCGCACACAGTTTTGAAACAGAAATCAAATTTCTTCTCAAATTGGGTACATAAAGACAATCTTTTATTGTAATTATTCCTTCTCTGAAATACAATTCTACAGTTCCTATAGTTGTAGCTGCAACGCTTGCGGAAGACCCCAAGTAAAGAATCACTTCACCGTCACTCAGTCTTCTGCTTGCCCTGAACCCCTGCAATGTGTTACATTCATAAGTAGAAGCCCGGAGTCAATACACCAGGAAGCAGAAGTAACCAACATATTGGTTTCTATGACAAAGGATTCGAAATTACCTTGTTTCTTGGTCTCCATGTACTGAGGACAGTTCCTTCCTCTGCATTTTAGGCTTGCTAGCTTTCTTCTGAGGTTTCTTCTTTGCCTTCCTCTTCTTCTTGCCTGATTTGCCACCTTCAGTAAGCATGGCAATGGGCTCATCCTTCTTTATCAGTTCTTCGGCCCTCTGCAACATATTGTTGAGTTCCTGAAGGCTAGCATTTAGCTTGTTCATATTGTAATTCATTATGAACTGATTGAAGGAAAGAGGCAAAGAGTTCAGGACGACATCAACTTTGGTGACATAATCTAGCCCAGATCCAAGAGCCTAAGGTTCATTGATGTACCCCATCATCTTAAGACAATRGTCATGAACTAGCTGGTTCTTGGACATTTGTGCGGTCATAAACTGCTTTAGGACCTTCTGACGAGTAGAACGATTCTACTCCTCATACATTGTCCTTAGACTATCCAAGATATCCTTGGACACTTCGATCTGGTCGAACTATCGCTGTATCTGATTGTCTAAGGAGGCTATGATATAGCACCGGGCAAGAAAGTTTTTCTCTTCCTATTCTTGATATTCCCTCCTGTGGGCCTCAGAAGCCCTATCACCCGGACGATCCGGAGCAGGGTTCTTAGCAACTTTGTCCAATTTCTCGAATGTCAGAACCAGCAAAAGGTTACGACACCAGTCAACGTAATTTGGGCCCTTAAGCTTGTTATCGTCCAATAGTTTGRCGAATTGTCCATTTGCCATTTTTGATCATTCCCAGAAAAAAAAAATGCTAACTGCACAAATCGGTTCTACCCATTTGCGCAGATTCAGGTTTGCACTAATTTGGTTCAAGACTTGAACCTGGCTCTGATACCACAGAAGGGATGGGAGATCCATCATATGGATGACCGAACCCTGCAGCAAGGTTCGGCGAAATTTCAAAAATTTCTTTACTCCCATCAGGGAATCCTATTCCCAATTTAGAAAACTGCATTTTCAAGGTTCGTTCTTGTAACCAAACCGGACCAAATCTGAAACCAAAATTAGGGAGGAATATACCTGATACGAAATCCACGCAAGAATGCTCCTCCCAACGTAGGTGTTCACGCCCAAAGAGTGTACCAAATCCTCCCTCCACAGAAGATGACACAGCTTAGGATGAGGTCGAATCAGCAGGTAGTTCTTCACCAAGAACTTGTGATTCTTCAGCAAAAATCGAATGGAATAATGAGCACAACTTCTAAATTGTTTYTTCTAGCAAGAAACAATATCAAAATCGAATCTTGATCAAATCCAAGAACTAGAGATCGAACAGGGTAGGGCGGCAAGAGCAAGAAGAAAAAGATCTGAAGGCAAGATCAGTTTAACTGAGTTGTCTTCTCTTTGTATTGAGTGAGTGTGTCTTCAAGGTTCGCCCTGCTCTCTTATTTATAGCCTTAAAGAGACAACTTCCTAATCTCATTAGGAGTTTCCTGATCCAAATCTTTATTTGGAACTGGACTCTTTAAGTGATAAGGATAATCCCTTATCTTATCTACAGATAAAGATCAACCTTCCTAATCAGATTAGGAGTTCCTTTGATCTACATCTTTATTTGGATTCGCCCCTATTTAATTAATCTAATTAACCCAGTTCGAAATGGGCTTTTAGGCCCACTAAGCTTTCAGGCTCACTTCCTCTTTAATGCTGGCTAGCTTGGCTCTCTTTGTATGGTGTGGGACTCCTGAGTCCATGGGTTCATCCTATCCTCTGTTAYAAGGCTTGGACGAATTCACTGCTGAATACAGTGAACTCCTGAGTCCATCACAATGGGCTCTTAATGGACCCAACATTTACACTAAATGGTCATTGGGTCCAGCCATCTTATGAAGGCCCAAGGGCTGTGGGCAGATGCAAGATTAGCCCATCAGGAATTACCCTCAATGGTCTTACACTTAACCTCTCAGCCCATAATGATAAAACACTGCCCAACAAGAGAGGACCTCTCCCTCGGCTGCAAGGTGCAGTGTTGCACTCTCTACTCACATGGATCCCGGGAATTAAAACCTTTTGCAAACATTTTTAAACCATAATATATATATTTATATCTTTATATAAATATACTTTGCAAAAACAAATTTCAACGGTTGAAATCAACTGTCGGCAATTTAAGTTTCCATCAGAGAGAATGCATCCCCGATCATTCACTTTGTCCGACAAAGGGTTTGATCCTGTCACTATGATCACCCACT